ACAATTGCACCCAAAACCATAAGATATCTAGGAATAAATTTAACCAAAGAGACAAAGGATCTGTAGAAACAGATCTGTAGACAAAGGATCTATAGTTTTATAGAAAACTATAAAATACTCATGAAAGAAATTGAAGAAGACACAAAGAAATGGAAAAACGTTCCATGCTCATGGATTGGAAGAACAAACATTGTGAAGATGTCAGTGCTCCCTAGAGCAATCTACACATTCAATGCAATCCCCATCCAAATACTATCCACTTTTTTCAAAGAAATGGAACAAACAATCCTAAAATTTGTATGGAACCAGAAGAGACCCCGAATTGCCAGAAGAATATTGAAAAAGAAAAGCAAAGCTGGTGGCATCACAATTCTGGGCTTCCAGCTCTATTACAAAGCTGTCATCATGAAGACAGTATGGTACTGGCACAAAAACAGGCACATAGATCAATGGAACAGAATAGAGAGCCAGAAATGGACCCTCAACTCTATGGTCAACTAATCTTTGACAAAGCAGGAAAGAATGTCCAATGGAAAAAAAGACAGTCTCTTCAACAAACGGTGTTGGGAAAATTGGACAGCCACATGCAGAAGAAAGAAACTGGACCATTTCCTTACACCACACACAAAAATAGACTCCAAATGGTTGAAAGACCTAAATGTGAGACAGGAGTCTATCAAAATCCTAAAGAAGAACACAGGAAGCAACCTCTTCGATCTCAGCCGCAGCAACTTCTTCCTAGAAACATCGCCAAAGGCAAGGGAAGCAAGGGCAAAAATGCACTATTGGGATTTCATCAAGATAAAAAGCTTTTGCACAGCAAAAGAAACAGTCCACAAAACCAAAAGACAACTGACAGAATGGGAGAACATATTTGCAAATGACATATCAAATAAAGGGCTAGTATCCAAAATCTATAAAGAACTTATCAAACTCAACACCCAAAGAACAAATAATCCAATCAAGAAATGGGCAGAAGACATGAACAGACATTTTTCCAAAGAAGACATCCAAATGGCCAACAGACACATGAAAAAGTGTTCAACATCGCTCGGCATCAGGGAAATCCAAATCAACACCTCAATGAGATACCACCTTACACCAGTCAGAATGGCTAAAATTAACAAGTCAGGAAATGACAGATGTTGGCAGGGATGCAGAGAAAGGGGAACCCTCCTACACTGTTGGTGGGAATGCAAGCTGGTGCAACCCCTCTGGAAAATAGTATGGAGGTTCCTCAAACAGTTGAAAATAGAGCTACCATACGATCCAGCAATTGCACTACTGGGTATTTACCACAAAGATACAAATGTAGGGATCCGAAGGGGTACATGCACCCCAATGTTTATAGCAGCAATGTCCACAATAGCCAAACTGTGGAAAGAGCCAAGATGTCCATCGACAGATGAATGGATAAAGAAGAGGTGGTATATATATACACAATGGAATATTATGCAGCCATCAAAAGGAATGAGATCTTGCCATTTGCAACGACGTGGCTGGAACTGGAGTGTGTTATGCTGAGTGAAATAAGTCAATCAGAGAAAGACATGTATCATATGACCTCACTGATATGAGGAACTCTTAATCTCAGGAAACAAACTGAGGGTTGCTGGAGTGGTGGTGGGTGGTAGACATTGGGGAAGGTATGTGCTATGGTGAGCGCTGTGAATTGTACAAGACTGATGAATCACAGATCTGTACTTCTGAAACAAATAATGCAATATATGTTAAAAAATAAAAAAGAAGAAGAAGATAGCAGGAGGGGAAGAATGAAGGGGAGTAAATTGGAGGGGGAGACGAACCATGAGAGATGATGTACTCTGAAAAACAAACTGAGGGTTCTGGAGAGGAGGGGGGTGGGGGGATGGGTTAGCCTGGTGATGGGTATTAAAGAGGGCACATTCTGCGTGGAGCACTGGGTGTTATGCACAATGAATCATGGAACACTACATCAAAAAGTAATGATGTAATGTATGGTGATTAACATAACAATAAAAATTATTTTAAAAAAAAGGTCTACCATGGGAGTATATCATCTCGTTAGTACTATAAGAGATTTCAGTATAAAGAAACTACTATCATTTCTTGTCTTGTGCTACACTGGCATTGGCTTATGTTCCCACAACACATTGTTTTGTTTTGTTAAGATTTTATTTATTTAAGAGAGTCAGAGATAGTGACAGAAACAGCAAGAGAGAGCACAAGCTGGGAGGAGAGGGACAAGCAGACTCCCCACAGAGCAGGGATCCTGACACAGGGCTCGATCCTAGGACCCGGAGATCATGACCTGAGCAGAAGGCAGGCGCTTAACCGACTGAGCCACCCAGGCGCCCCAACACTTTGTTTTTTAATGTTTAATGTTGTTAACATTTGACATGTAAAAAAGTATATATAGTTGACCCTTGAACAACACGAGTTTCAACTGCATGGGTCCTCTTACACATGGATTTCTTTCAATAAATACAGTGCAGTACTATAAATGTATTTTCCTTATGATTTTCTTAATAACATTTTCTTTTCTCTAACTTACTTTATTGTAAGAATACAGTATACAGTACATATATAAAATATGTGTTAATCAACTATTTATATTATTGGTAAGGCTTCTGGTCAACAGTAGGCTATTAACAGTTAAGTTTTTGGCGAGTCAAAAATTATACTTGGATTTTCAACTGTGCAAGGGGTTGGCACCCCTAACTCCCATGTTGGTCAAGGGTCAACTGTATAAAATATATATATAACGTATATATATGTGTATATATATATATGTATATATAGTAAAAAATATATATAGTATATTTAGTTACAAAGCACAATGGTAAACAGCTTCAAACGGCCCCCTAACTTAAGGATTAGACCATTTCCAATAACCTGCATACACCTGTGAGCACCTGCCTTATCCTATCTCCTTGCTTCCCCACCCCCTGAGGATAACCACCATTTTGAGTCTTTCATTCCCTTCTTTAAATATAATTTTATCATTTATGTATGTTTTCCTAAAGAATATATTATTTAGATTTGCTAGTTTTGAGCTTTATAAAAATGGTGTTCTATGACTTGCTTTTGTTCAATCAGTATTAGGCTTTTAAGACTCATTCAGTTGTGAGCTGTAAATTGCTCATACAGATTGGGAGACCCACTGCCATTTTCAGATCAGTTGCTTTAAATCAGCCAGAGTGGTAAGTATTTACATCATGGAAAATATCAATCTCTACAAATCAGGGCTTTCTTTTTCAAAAAAAGAGTTGTTAATTTTACCAGCACACCTCTGATTTCAACCATCCTATGTGTGTATTTGAAATGCAGTTTTCTATAATGGGACAACTCCACAGTGTATCCACTTTCCCATCCACCAGCATATCAACAAATGTTGTTCACGTTTCTTGGTACCTGAGACTTGTTTCTCTAAGATATTTACCCAGACGCGGAGTTTCTAAGCTTTAAATTATGTGACTATTCAAGACTTTAAAATAATGGAAAACTGTTTCCAAAATTGTTTAAGCCCCACCTAGGGTGTATGAGTTTCTTTTCATCTCTGTCTTCACCAGCACTTTTGTTTGATTTCCTAATTAATACCAAACCAAAGCTTGTAAAACAACATCCCCCTAGGGTCTTAATTTGCTTTTCTTTGATTACTACAGTAGTTAAGCATTTTTCGTATGTTCATTTGGCCCATTTGTGTTTCCTCTTCTGTGAAATATCTGTTCATATCTCTTGCTTATTTTTCTATTGGTTTGTTGATCTTTATTAAATTGTATGTTGTTTATGTATTCTAAATATTCGTCTTTAATCAGTGACAAATATATTGCAAAAGTATTTTGCTATTTTGTGGCTTATTGATTCACCTATTTCTGGCATCTTTTGATGAGAAGGAGTTTTTAACACTCTACACTTGAGTTAAATTTTTTTGTTATGCTTTGGGATTTTTTTTTTCACTTTCTTTAATATGTCCTTCTCTAAATGTAAGGAAAATATTTTCCCATAGCTTCTTTTCTAATTATCCCAACTGGATGTACTGACCACATCTAGCCAGAACACTGAATGATGAAGTGGTGATATATCTTAGACGCCATTGTCATGGCCCTATATGTACTTTTTTATTTATGCCGGAAACATTTTGAAGTCCCCTGACATGAACTTAATGTGCTGTGTGTCTTTTTTTTAAGGTTTTGTTTATTAGAGAGAGAGAGAAAGCACAAGCAGGGGAAGGAGAGCAAGGGGGAGAAGCAGACTCCCCACTGAGCAGGAAGCCCTACAGGGGGACTCGATCCAGGGACTCCAGGATCATGACCCAAGCCGAAGGCAGTCGCTTAACCCACTGAGCCACCCAGGCGCCCCTTAATATGCTGTGTTAAGGAGTTTGAATTGTGTCCTATAGAAAATGGGATAAAAGAAGCAGCTTTACTTTTAGAAAGGTAATAAACTAAAAAGAGATAAGACAGTACAAGGAGTACCCATTTATAGGCTTGTTCCAGTAGGCAGAGAAAAAGGACGAAAGCACAGAGGAGGTAGTGTCAGGGAAGATGAAGAGGAAGCTGGTTTGGGAGGAAATTCACTGCCACAATTTGAGACCAATTTAATAAGGCTGAGAAAGAGGGAGGAAAATCCAGCATGGTGCTGACATTTCTGCTGGAAAGTCTGAAGGGATCTATAATGTGAAAATGGGAGTAGGCAACGTAAGTTACAAAAACAAGTTTAAAGGAGTGACAAAATTTGGGGCGGAGCCAACATATAATTGACCAGTTTGTCCCTAAATCAGGCACAGACATGAGGAGGCTGTTCCTCAGAATCCACATGTCTTGTTTGCTTTTCTCCTTTCCCTTAACCTCTGACATACACAGCCCGAGGGAGTGGTGGATATATGACTGACCGTTACCATGATTTGGATGATCTGGAGCAGGGCAAGATGTTTGGTTTTGTTTCTTTCTTTCTTTCTTTGTTTTTTAATCTTCAGGTGCCATTCAAATACAGTAAATATTGTTGGATTCAAAACTTACCCAAAGAATCTGGTATTTCATCTGGAGAATGAAGTGCTTGTGAAGTTTCCTCCGTCCTTTCTGCCAGGTTGTCTCCTTGAAGCCTAAATAATTAAAAATGGTCATTGAAACCTCGAATAATGTTGAATTGTGAAATGTGAACCATACACTACTGGGGACATGACTATGAACTTTTCCAACTTAAAATCAGACGCCATTCCTCAAAGTAGAAATAAAGGTTTACTAAAGCCTTTGTCATATAGTGTTTTTGTTTTTGTAGCCTTTAAGGACAAGTCTTGCATCATCTTTTTTCCTTATATAAATGGGAAGATTAAGTCTAGGCAGAATCTGCTTTTCTTCTCAGCCTGACTGGAGGAAGGTTTATAAGCAAACATTTTCACTAAAACTACAATGGGGAAGTGAGTGGAAGAAAAGCAGGAGTCCAACACAGTGGGCTCGCCTTACTTCTGGATCCAGGGGCATGAGAGGGTTTCCATGATTACACAGAGGTTTATCAAACACAGTTCTCCAAGTCAACCAAACTTGAGCTTAAAGGCCTGCAGGTCAAGGTAAGTCTCAACAATGGAAGTTAAGATTCCTAATCTGTGTGACTCCCCAGGGTTCTCATAGACACTGGGTCTTCAGGAAGGGAAGACATGGGTACTTTTAAGACAATATATTTCTGAACTTCTGTCTCCACCCTGCAATGGTGAGACTAGCGATATCTAACTCAAACAGTCTGGATTTACCTTATACTGTGAAATCACCCTATCAAATGAGGTAGAGCTTATTAATAACTGTTGGAACTCTGTCCTAAGAATAAGCTCTGCTAATATTGGAGGACAGTATATCAGATAATCCAGAGATTGGAAGTTTCTATCAGTGCCCTTATTTTTTTCTTGTATTTAGCTGATGGCAAGTGCCCTCATGGCAGAATATTAATAAATGCATAACAAACAGCATTGATATTTTTAAAAATACAAACTCAAGTACAATCCATAACTGTACAAGGCTCAAAAGTTAAACTTTTCAACTGCCTTACATCTTTGCTTTTATATGCCACAGTAGAATGACATGTTAATTTGCATTTTGCTTTTGCATATTCAAGCACATATGCATGACTTTTTACCTTTTGTGTAACTATAAATAGTATAAATTATATTTTCATCTTTATTCTTTTAATATTAAGTTAATATTAATATTAAATTCTGCACATTTTTGCACACATTATATATTAATAGTTACATATTACCTTCTGTACACAAAACCATATTTACTGTATTATATAAGGTAACTAAAGAATTCTCAAGAGTAATTTGCTGATAGGACATTTTTTGGTCAAATATATACATTTTATACCTTTTTTATTGATTTTATACTTTGAATTAATTTTTAAAATTTTACTTTGAAAGAACAACATCACTTTTAAATGATTTAGCTACATACTTCTCAAATCTGTCCAACTATTTTTTATTTTGTTTATTTCTAATCATTAGAATAAATCACTAAACTGCAGTACCAAATAGTCTTTTTGCATTTCCTTTGTCTAGGACCATTTCATCAAATTTCCAAAGAGATAAAGTATGTAGAAACATGAAATACTGAAAGGTGTAAGTAAACATTATTATTAAAAATTGACAACGAAATCCAACATATTTGGGTATTTCAAATTAGATTAAAAACCTAAATGGAAAATAAATCTCCAACAAAGGCAGAAAGAAAGAAGCAAGAAATAAAAACTAAGTTGTAAATTTCTTTTTGCTCACTGCAAGCTTCAATAAGAAAGATTTATTTTGTATTTATTAATATGCTCAGTAATAAGCCTAATGTGGTAGAGATGTAAGTAAGTGACAACTGATCCTGATTTCAGACTTCTCAATTTAGCTGAGTCAAAAAGACAAATGGCCATGAAAGCAACTCAACAGATTGGGTGGCCTTGAAGCTGGCTCATCTCTGTCCAAACACTGCCCTCCAGATACCTTAAGAGTTGGAGTTACCGTGACTTGGCACCAACTCCATTAAGGAATGCTTCACAGCCCTGCTATCCTGGAGTGCTCTGCCAGTGTTTCCCAAACTGTAATCCACACAGCACTACTTCTGTAAGAGGTTAATAGGCACTATGCAAACAAGGGTTATGTGGGCAAGTCCGGGAAATTCAGTCTTAATGAAAGTTAAATCTTTTTTTTCCTTTACACTACAAGAGTTTTACTTATACTCCCGAACCTTTACTCTTTGCTTTCTAAAACTCCTTTTCCATATTAAACACTCTTTTATATTCTCAATATCTAAACAAAATGTTTCCTGTCCCGCCTTGTCATCACTGAAACCCTTTTCCAAGAATACTGCACCCTTTTTTCCTCTAAGAATATGAGAGTGTATCCTCTCCAAAAGAAGCTGCCTAATTCCTTGACCTCAGATAACACAGGATTAGAAATATTAACCTTCCTTCTTTCTGCCTGTGAAGACTTTGCTCAGAATCAAAGTTTTCTTCTTCAACTCAAGCATCATTATCACCTTGAATGATTTCTGTGTTCTTGTGTATCTACCCACTAATTTGGCTCTTGATCTCTAATCTGGAAATCTTCCCTTCTACTTTACCTTCTCTCACCCAAGGACAGATAACCCAGAATTGCTCCGTGTCAGCAATCTTTCAATCCAATGTTCTGTTCTCTGACAATAAACTTGCCTCCTTTAGGCTCTTTCACAAACTTACTGTTCTTAACACTTTCTCTTCAGTCAAATATGGATCCCAATTTCTTTTTCTCCCAGGTACCTGGCCTCTCCTCGTTCCAGTTCTGCCCCACTCAGCTGGGACTTGTGGTCTCCTCAGTTCCCGTGCACCTACATCCTCCCGTCATTACTGACCAACCAGACCCTAATTCTGTATTAATCCATCATTTTCCTACACATGTGCACCTGGAGCAATGCGGAAGAAAGTCAGACCCTCTAGGATTGGTGAGTACAAGTCAATGGTCTCCAACTTTAAACTTGGGCTTCTTGGCTTCTTGGTTGTCTTTCTTCTGTTCCTTTCAAAGTCTTTACAAAACTATTATCTCTTTTTTAGCTCACCTAGAAAAATGATATATTAAGGAAGAAAGATCTGCTACTCCCCCTCACACAGCACCTACAGAATTATCTTCAGCCCAGCCAGTATTCACCACCTTTCTAATTCACAAAGGGTGAGACCCTCTGTCCTATGTAAGGCTCAGACCATCCATTTAGGCTGATGATTTGGATCCCCTCATCTCCTCTCTCTCTTGGACCTTGATTTATTTTATCCATTACCATTCATTCTGTTCATCCCCATTGCTCATTTCCCACAGCATAGAAGCAAGCTCATTTCTCTTTCAGCTGTAAAAAAAAAAAAAAAAAATTAAAAAGACAAACACAAAACAAAATCCCTCCCATAATTACCTCAAACATCTAACTGTTGCTTTTTCTCGCTCATTCGTCTTTGAACAAAACTCTCTAAATATTCTTCATTCATTACCTTTGCTTCCATAGTTTTCATTCATTCCTCAACTTATTTTAATTGGTCTGTGTCTCTCCCATTCTGAAATGACTGTCTGGCCTAATTGCCATATAAAACAGAAACTTCTAATACCTTATTTTTATTTAACTTTCAACTGTACTTTGTATGCATACTCTTTTCCCAATCTCTTTTATACCAACTCTCTGAATCAGCTCATCTATTCATGGTTTTAATTACATACAGATTGACATTTTTCAAATCTTTATCTTGAGTCCTCAGCTCAAGATTAATAAAGCCAAATTTTTGTAGGACATTTTACTTGGATGCACCAAAAACATCACAAAGGCAACATGTCCAAAAGCAGACTCATTTTCTTCATCACCTTGTATTGCTAATCAATCCCAGTGTTGCTAATTATGCCTCCTAAGGAGATTTCCTGAATCCATCACTTCTTCTTTATACACTACTATAAGTTTGCTGCTCATTTTTATTCACCTGGATTATTACATAATGTCCTCACTGATGGTCATACTTAGAAACTTGCCCTTCAAAAACCAATTTTCCATATGGCTACCAGAATGTTCAAAACAAATCCAAACATATTACTCTTATGATTTAAATATTTTAGTGCAAGAGATCTTAACATGAGTATTTTTAGAGGGTCTGTGGGCAGGTTTTAGGGGAATCACAATAATTCACAGTAAATGGAATGAAAAGTTTTTGGCAGATGTGCTCTTTTTGGACAGGGAGACAGTAACTTCAACCAGATTTTCAAAATAATCCTTGACTCCAAAAAGTTTAAGAACTACCATTTCTACTGGCTTCTCATCACCTGCAAGATGAGTTATGGTTTCCTTACCAAGTCATTTGAGTCTCTCTATTGCACAACACCTACCTGTTTCTGCAAATTCATCTTCTTTGATTTTATACACTTCATAAAGCTCACTGCTTTTACTTTTTTGCAGGTATTTTGTTATTAAGGCTCTGAACTATTATATAATTATCTCTGGCATGTCTTACTTCCCCTCTTTTATTATTTGGTTTAATCCTGGTTTTTCATTCTAGAGTCTCTTCTTTTCAGAACCTTTTCTTTCAGAAGTCTTAGCACCTATGCAAAACTTTACCATTGCTCTTGCTTTACTATATTTTAATTGTCTGTTTAGATGTCTGTTTGTCAATACACTCCAAGTGTCTTAAAGGCAGGAATTTTATTTTTCATATTTTTATGTCCCTAAAACCTAGCTTAGGTTGAGCTTGATACATTGGTAAGCTCTAAAAGAGATTTCTTAAGGCATTTTTTAATGATTAGCTCACCTTGGAGATAAGGACAGGAAAACAGGGCACACCCTAATATGAAGAATTTTCTACAGAATACTATAATAGAGTTACATTTCCTTGAAAAGAGGTAACGCTATCTGGCGTATATTTAGGGTTAGACAGTTCTTAACCTGGTTTGCCCTAATGCAGAACATGAGACAGAGGCTTATGTGCCAGTGCTTGTATGACCTGGGGAACAGGAGTGAAGGACATGGGAGTAAAATGCAAAAGGAGAGAAACACAATACAAGGATGTGTTATTGAGCCAACCTCTGTACAGATGGTTGCAGCACAATCTCAAAGAATTCTGAGGATC